TAAACCCTAAGCGCTAAACCCCCAACCCAACCCCCATCTTCCGGCGCACCCGGGTGGAACCCGCCAAGGAGATGTCGGGCAGTCGGACTGCCAAGCCTGCCTTGGCACCATCTGCGGGTTGTTCTTAAGGGGTTCTGCAGAGGTGGAAACATATGCACAATATACTCAGGCATATATACAGGGATATACTTAGACATATACATGTTTAGGGGTATATAGGGGCAGATAGAGATACAGGTTTCAGGCTTAGGGTTGTTCGAAAGGTCCTTTTAGAAGAGGCGCCTTTTGGAAGACATGCTCTTAAATTGGAGAGAGGTCCTAGCCAATGGGCGAACCTACCTTTGTGGCTGATTTGGGGAAAGTATTTTGAACCACTACCATCTGAGCTACCTTTCAGTTGTCTTAGGTTGCGGATCCACTCCCAGTAATAACACCCCGCTAATGATGAATACCACCAACGTACTGTTGATGGAGGAAATCTTGCACCACCTATTGCTCTTGACCTGCTATAGATTCTAGGATTTGGGGACTTTCGGGTACATAATGGGGAACAAATTCTAGGGGAGAGGGGATTGGGACGGTGGAGCATAAAGGCCCTGTCATTGATAACTGCCTGTGCATCTGGCCTTCTTATGAGCTTTAGTCTAAACTCCTACCGTAGTGTCGTCCTTAACAACCCCGACCATACTCCCCTTCATAAACCCCTATAACACCTCCTTTAACGAGTTTCGCCTACAGCCTTTTTGAACCTCATTGCGGTGCTTCATAGCGCATGTATAGCAAAGCACCACTGGCGGGAGCCATGCGGCCAAGTCACCTTTACGTAGCCTTCATAGACCTGCGCATATGACTTGTGATGCTCTGGGATCAGTGCGGCAAGAAGAATAATGGCAGCGCTAACGGTACTGCTTGTGAGAATGATGGTGGTCATAGAGCAATGATGCTCTTCTCAGTTCTAACTCCACAAAACAGCAGTTAAAAAAAAAAAAAAAAAAAAAAAAAAAAAAAAAAAC